CCCTAACATTGTGAACCACCCATATTATGGAACCCGTCCCACATCTAACGTACCGAACTGTAAAATACGTGACGGCCTTTACCTTCGCTCTCTTCTAAAACTATCGCCCGAACCAAGCAGATCCTACTTCGCGACACCCATCCATTTTTATCGTGGAAGAATTCTGCAAATTTTCAAACTGATATGTAAATGTGGTTTCTTTCCTTTTAATTAACTATTTTGTATTTGGTTTGCTTTCGAATATTTTGCTAATGTTTGTAATTTTGGTTATTTAATTTAGGTCCAACTTTGACCTCCATTTTGGTCAAGGGTACGTGGCGAGTCATATCCACGAGGTGGCTTGGCTCGATTATCTTTTCGTTTAGTAAAGTTTGAGAACCCGTTCTGTTGTTTTTTTTTTTTATATTTTCAGATTATTTGATCGGGACATCGCCTGATTTTGACGATTACACAAAGGGTTATCGAACTTTCCGATTGCTTCGCAGACTGACAAGAGTTTCTCTGGGCCCCTGGCAAATTGCATAGTCTGGATTGGAATATCTGGTCTGGTTGTTTCGAATTATCTTTTGTATAAATTTATTTAGTAAATTATTATTAACTTTTTTTTATTTTAAATAGTTTAAAGATTTTGAATCAATTACTGCACAGATTCTCAAATTCCGTTCATTTTTTCTTATTAGTTTAAATTTAATTAACTCACACCATCCTTAGTTTAGATTTCATCGTACTAGTAGCTTATAATAGTATTAAATTAATTAACTTTAACATTAATTGTAAATATTAAATTTAAGGAATTATATATACCTTACATTTTATTGCATAATCACCGACAACCAGACTGATTATTATCGAACATTCGTTCGTTGTAAATATCCTACTTGCTTATATTTTTTTTTCTCTGATTTCCAAAATTGCAACAAATCAACATACCATGGATCTTCTGACCGAGACAACCTTCGATTGGATCCAGGGTGTCTAACCATCACCATCTTTGGGAGGAAGTTGTCATGAAGTCTGTCAACCGACAACCACCTGGCCATCTACATCTGGCAGATGACCATAGCGTCAACACCCCCTCAGATATCGTACAAACTAACCAGACCCTTCCATATAGTCAAATCTCGTCGGAAGTTACCATCACACCATCAATGTTGCTTTCAAAACCTTATTAGTCAAGTAGAGATATCTAGTCAAAGTTCAATTTGTTATGTCATTTGTTGTCGGAAATTTTAAATTAGACCTGATTGTAATTTGATCAAAATTGATATTTTTTGTAAAATTTAAACTCACTAACCTTACTTTAGTTTACTTGGGTTTTGTAACCAATTATCCCAAGGAGTTATTAGTCCATGTGGACAAATAATAAATAACGTTACAAATGTAACAGCTGCTTTGTAACCGCCACATAGCAGGTACCGCTTTGTAACTACTATTAAGTGCCGGTTATTTTAATGGTTACTTTGTAGTCGTTCCAAGTAACGGTTGTAAAGTAACTGTTACCGTCACCATTACAAAATGAACGTTACTTTACAACTATTACTTAGAACCGCTACTTTTAAATTTTTACTTGGAACTGTTACAAAATAACCGTTACAGATCCGTTCCTTGAAACAGTTACATTAAAACCATTACTTTGAAATCTTTATTTTAAAACTGTTACTTTAGAACCGTTCCTTGGCACCGTTACATTGGAATCATTTCTTTCAAATCTTTATTTTAGAATTTTGATTTTTAAACTGTCACTTTAGAACGATTACATGGCAACCGTTCCGTGGAACAGTTTTTTTTGATTAATTCCTTGGAACAGATACTTTGGAATCGTTTCTTGGCACCGTTACTGTGGACCATTCCTCGGAACTATAACTTTTAGACCTTTATTTTAAAATTGTGATTTTGTAACTGTTACTTTAGAACGGTTATCAGGAACCATTTCTTGGAATTGTTACATTTAGAAAGAATGTTTTGGAACCGTTTCTCTGGCGTTGCTACTTCGACTTTTTATTATTTCTATTACTTCATTCTATTATTAGGGCACGTCCCCTTCAAGGAAACCCTTCTGTAAACACCGAGGTTCCGAGTTCGATCGCCGGCTGCGAGATTCTTTCCGAACGCAGTAAGATTTTTCCCTTAGTTGGGCGAAGTTTATCAGCGGCAGCGGGAGAGAATAATAAACGGGGCAATCGATTAGGGCCCCTAACTGTATCTCCCACGAATAAGAACTTCATTTAACTTTGGCCGGCACGAGGGTCCTCCACAAACTTTTCGGTGGCGACGTGAAAAAAACGGAAATCGGGAAAACCGCTGGGAACAACGTCTACGAGGTGTTGCGCGGGGAAATAATGGCACGAGATTGGAGTGGAGATACACGTGGCCGGAGCCGGTTAGAATCTTGATGTATGAAAAAGGCACAATAGCGGACATGGCAGAAACTAAGACAATGCTTGGAGCAGAGATCGAAAGTTGCGTAAAAATATATTTGGATGCTTTTATCTATAGTAGGATCATATTTGATGCAAAGTAATAAATCATTGCCTGTCAAGGGATCCAGTGCAGTGCGGTTTAAAGGGGTTTAGAAATTGAATAATTTCTTTATGCATTACAAAAAACTATTTATTTTAAATGTAATTTATTATAAGTCCAATTTGTTTTTTAAATTCCACATATGTACTACATTTTACCTCTGTACGCGCCACTGTCGTTTACTTGTTTTTTGGAGGCGGTGTCTGATTTACGTCCAAGCTCGCCAGGTTAGTATTTGACGTATAACCAACCGATCATTCGTACACTCGATGCATCTGGGCGACTATAGCTACTACCAGAACACAATGCGTATGATGCGGTATTTCAGATTTTACATTCAGTCTCATTTTAAATTTGAAATGGTTCATCTTATGCGTGCTAAAAATGATGACACGATTTTCCTTTGATAAAAGACCGACAAATTTTTGCACTACTTTGCATCGAATACGATCCTACTATAAGTATTTGTAACTTATAGTAAGAAATTGGATCTTACAAGTGTTTACGAAGTAAGTAGCATTGTTTTGTTAATGATTAGACAAACTATGTTGAAAGATACTTAATTAGATTAAATTAGTAACAGTTATTAGAAAATAGCATAAATATAGAGTTATTTCTGAGTTGAGCTGCTTTTAACAGCCTGTAGGACTACCACAAATCCAATCCATACTTTTTTCAACGTTTCGTTTTGTTCTTTAATTAAATAAATAAAAAGGACAAACCACTCTTTAGTTTTATGTGCCTGTGCAATGAACTCGTTAATCTACTGCGAATGTCAGCAAAACGTTGCAGAAGCATCGCATTTTATAAATTACAAAAAAAAAAACAAAAATTACCCTGTACAGTTAAGATGACGGCGGAGGGAAACATCGTACAACGCTGCCTATTCCCCCCGCATCACCCTCCGTCGATCGGAATTCCGAAAATATCGCAACGTTCCGCTCGCCACGCGGCGCCCCAACACCATCGGAATGTCACGCTTGATGAAGTCCAGCTATCGCGATTCCCGATTCGGTTCACGCATCAGGCGGCACGCAGCGGCGTAATCGATTAACGAACGGGGACCCGAAAGAAGACAATCCTCCTCCGCCGCCGCCGCAGCAGCAGCCGGGGACGGCGATGGATATTCCGCGCGGCCGAGCGCGAACTCAAATGGCCGACGTAGAGGCCGTGAGTTGTGTTAAAACGTTAGTTTATAAGCGACCAGTACGTGCTGCGTGCCTTTAGGGAATTCCGGGCGTAAAGCTCACTCGATTTTCGTTTATTTTGACTGTACCATCCAACCTTCATTTAAGTATGATTCGCGGTTATCGAGCGGAAAGGATATTAAGCTGAAGGTTGTACAGAACCCACTCTTACATAGAGCGCTATAATAGCTATATTCGCTATGTAGATTGAAAATAGCCACCACTGTTTTATGTTAGAAACACAGCGAGAACTATATTTGCTTTTGAAAATAGCTACCATAGTTTTATATTAAGATCGTACAGACTTTATGCTAACTTTGTTCGCTATGTATATTGCAACAACTGTTTTATGTTAGAATCGCACAAAGCTGTATTCCTTATGTAAGTATATTAAAAATGACTGATGCAAAGACTACCCGAAGCGCTATGTTAGCTATGTTCGCTATAACTATCAATGTTTCATTCTAGGATCTCACAGAGTGTATGCTAACTATGTTCGTTAACTAGATTGCAGTCAGCTATAAGCTATAACAGTTTTATGCTAGGATCATACAATCTTATGCTTTGTTAAGTATATTCTCTATTGAAAATAGCTACAACAGTTTTATGTTAAGATCGCACAGAACGTTTGCTACGTTTATTGAAATAACTACCCACTGTTTTATGTTAGGATCGCATAGAGTTGTATCCCCTATGTATATTGAAAATGACTGACGCTAATTGTAAGACTACACGGAGCGCTACGTTAGCTATGTTCGCTATTGAAAATATACTGTATTGTGCTAGAATCGCACAGAACATACGCTGATTGTGTTCACTGTGTATGTTAACGGTAGTTACAATAATTGTTTAAGGCTATTTTCACAGAAGTGTTATAATAGCTACGTTCGCAATTGTTTTAAATGGGTGTGACCACACGGAACGTATGATATGATCGCTAAGTTCGCAAACAAATTTGTTTGTACGTATCTACCACCACGAGAGTTATACGCATAACAAACAGCGTAACACTAGGTGTGGGCGTAATATTAACTGTTTTTAAAGTAGCTAGCATAGCAATATGTGTGGTCGTAGTACTGGTTATTTGTACAGCGAACATAGCTATCGGTTGTTTTTAACGAGTACAACGAACATAGCTAATATAGCGCTCGGTATCGCCTTGTATTAAAGAAGGCGGCATTCTGACTAACTGAGACGTTTTAATCGTGGAAATAGTGGATACCTTCAAAATTATAATGAACAGGCTGGAGCGTGACTCGATCAAATCTAAAGAGCGTCAAATCGTGCACTCACCTGAATTTGCCGTGCCCGTACCGAGCAGCACGTCGATGCTGCCGTCGGAGAGGATGTCCGTGTCCTGGTAGGAGATGGAGAAGGTGGCGTCGTCCTGCAGCCTGGCCAGCATGGCGGCTAGGCTGTTCCTGTCCAGGTCATCGGGTTCCTTGAGCTGGAGTGTGACGTTACCGTCGGAGGCCGTGCTGTACATGAAGACGGCATGGCCTCCGGGGTACGGCTGCAGGGGAAGGCGCACTCCGGTTAGCTCATGGACACCCTGAAACAAATTGGTAACCATCAGCTGGCGTCGGATGATATCCTTATAAAAATCGTATCAATCCATCAAAAAACAAGAGTTGACCTTCGAATAACTTTCAACATGAGCTAATTTCGCACAACGGACATTGTATTCGGAATCAGCCACTCCAAAAATGTATAGGTATGGTGGTCTAGTTTATCATCACACATTGATTTTTTGCCATGGGGCTGTTATCAGAAAAAATATGTCTTAAATTGAAAAACGCCCTGAAAATCTTAAAGAAACTAAAATATCACGCGTAAGTGCACTTTTTAAACATTTTGCCATTGGCCCCTCGACCATTCCCTAGAATAACCAAATAGGTGCAACATCGACATAAACAAAATTACTTTTATACAGGTTCCCATCCGACGTTATATCCTTTATACATTTCCGATTATACTCCGCCGTAAGTTCATTTTCGTTCCATTCCTGGCTACGTAAGCCGCTCTGATCAACCATCTTTCGCTTTTATGATGGATTGAACGTGATCCAATTTCATTTATGTAGCGATATAGTGTTGCAGCGATCGCCTCCCTCCCCCTCCCATAATTTGTAACAGTTTGTAACGCGGAGTCAGGGAGGTATTATTAACCTTTGTGCAGATGCAATTTTAATTTCCTTTTCTAAATTGGATCGCAGCGTATTTGCCTTTGTCGACAAGTGCCCCCGATTGCTTAATCCAGCGGAGAAATCGGAAATTGTATATTGTAATAAAATATGGAAATACGGCAAATATATTAGCGGGGACTGAACTAAACAATATCCTGTCGAGACGAGGCAGCGAAACGTAAAAGGGAATCTGACTTATGAAATACATTTGGAATTAAATAGGAAAAAAACCGTTTTCAAACGTACGAAAGTTACTTTATAAATTAGAAGTAATTATAATACAGAGCGTTCATAAATAATTGCAAGCCATGCGACTGTCGAGCTTAGGCACCCATCATTGCACGGTTGGTACTGTCAACTAAAAATCCTAAATCTCTTTGGAGTGGCTGAAGGAGTTTTTGGAATTGATTAACGGGAACTGTTGATATTAAACTGAATACATACGATTTATGTATTACTATATTTGTGAAAAATACTTGTTTTTTCTTTCGATGAAATGCTTTTAACCTTATTAAAAGGAGAAATATATCAAACTTCCTTGTTAATGAACAAAGTGCAATATTTTACAATGAAAACTATTAACTTGTTTTATTTTTTGAACACTCTCGTTATTTTCCCTATACTTTTCTTGACCAAAGGCCTTACGATATTCACCGGATATCACAGAATATCTATTATAAATGGGCAACAAAGGAATTTTAAGTATACCTCCTAACTCCCCAAAGGCATTATACTGCTGGTAGACGTTTTGAGAATGGTGGACCTTTTGGATAAATGTGCAGCAGGGTCATAAAGGGAAAACGTACATTTGATATTTTGTACTTTGGTAATTTATCAACATCACTTCTCCACACTGCCCACTTTACGGAAACTTTCTCGTTTTCTATGGTGTATAGAATAATTTTGGCAATAAATAGCAACTTAAAACCTTCTTTGGCACTACATAGTTGTAAATATAAGATTCAAGATTAAGAAATTTACAGGTGCTCCGATATTCTACGGGCAGAATTTTGTCGGTAGAATATCTCGGTACCCTTCAGGGTGTTAGAAGTTTAACCTGCCTTAATTTAACAGATGACAGAATACATTAAAATAACCAAAAAAATTTTTTTGAACTTCGTTATGTTTAATTCTGAAAAATAATAATTAGCTTTGAAATAAGTTTAAAATTAAATAAAATTCATATCGAGCAATGTGACAACGGCGTGGCGGTTTATTAACACGAGGTACTAAGCTGTTCAGCAAACACCAATACGCAATTCAGTTGGTATCTGGATTCGACCGTGTCGGAGTGTTTTTTGCGTACCACTATCTCCTTTTCTTGAGGTGTTTTCCAGCGAGTGCGCGAAAATTGGATTCGAAGGTGTCGTGTGTGCATCGAAAATGGTGGTGGACATTTTGAACACATGTTGTAGTTTGTTTTGTACTTGTGCGTTTAAAAATTACTAAATTTTGCTTTTTGGTAAGTATCTAAATTATTTTTAATACGTATGATTATTTGGACGACGTGAATCATTGGGTACTTTAATTATATATTTTTCAAATACATAATTTGATTAAAAGTTAAGTTCCTGTTTTAGGAGATTCATAATTACTAACATTCGAGCTAAAATTTAAGCACAAGAGTATATTCGTACTACAAAATCGTTACATTTTATTTTATTTATTTAAAAACTGGAAATGAAATTTACTAAATATTTCACAATAGTAGTTGTTTACATTTTTTCCGTAGGACAAGTCGGCCGTGTACACACCTGGCAGGTTAAGCGCTGTTGTCATATTGTGATGAAATTCCCGAATGTTAATACTCGCTGTATTTTGAAAACTATTAATCTTACGTCCTTGTAATATACAACTTTTTTGTTCATTTATGATTACTTACTTTATTTCATGCTGAAGTAATGGCAGTCAAACTTCTTATACCCTGTATATATTTTAAAGAGACATTTTGATGAATGCACAATAAATATCTGAATTACTAGGCAATATCGGGAAATTCATTATGATTTCTTTTCAACAAAAATGTGCCCCACGACTATGTTAAAACGGAAAAAACTTTTTATTTGTAAATCATGAGAAAAAGTCATTAGTTTAAAAAAATCCTACTTGTCTTCAAACCCTTAAAATTGTTATTATTTTCTTGATTTTCTATGCACTAAACTTTATGATCCTCCAAAAGTCCCGATCTGAATTCAATGGATTTTAATTAGCTGCGCGTGCAAGAATGATTTCAGTAGCAATTTTTTTTGTTACGAATTTGATGGACTTCATTATTAGGTGGAGCTTTCACGTGTTTGTCTGTAAAACAGAGAAAAATCGAGAACTTCTATGAAAAAATTACAGAAACTGAGGTTTGTTAGAAACTGAAACTCCATTTATTGTCTAAGTACTACCCCTTCCTTATTCGTACAAATATCGCCACAGAAGACACTTTTAAAATGTTGCACTTCTAATGAATTACATAACTTAGATACATTAGGGTGGCCCAAGAATACGAATATTTTTTTTTCGTGTCTCTTGTGAAAATATGTTAGTTTATCATGTTTTAAGAATCCCCTCAAAAAATCAGCTCTAAGAAAAATTTTTAGAGGTCAGTCAAGATTTTTAAAAATTTCCATAATCGTCAAAAATTTATTTTTTTTTATTTTTTCTCTCATTATTTTATCATTTTCTATGTTGAAAAAAATCTCGATTCTGAAAATTTAAAATCGATATTTTAATTTCTAAAGGTCACTCATAATTATTTTAACTTTCAAAGTAGTGTACCTAAAATTTTTTCGAGCGACCTCTAAAAATAAATATCAACGAACTAATATTTTTTTATTGATTCTGATGAACAAAAGAATAGAAATAAATCACGAGACACTTAAAAAATTTCTCGAGGCAAAATTTACTATCGCACTGAGTTTCAGATAATATTTATAATTTTTTAATTTTTTAAAATTTAAGTGTCTCGTGATTTATTTCTATTCTTTTGTTCATCAAATTCAATAAAAAAAATTATTAATTCGTTGATATTTATTTTTTAGAGGTCGCTCGAAAACATAGGTGTACACTACTTTGAAAGTTATAATAATTATGAGTGACCTTTAGAAATTAAAATATCGATTTTAAATTTCAGAATCGATATTTTTTTCAACCTAGAAAATAATAAAATAATGGGAAAAAAAATAAAATTTTTGACGATTTTGGAAATTTTTAAATATCTTGACCGACCTCTAAAAAATTTTTTGAGCTGATTTTTCGGCTCTTAAAACTTGATAAACTAACATATTATCACAAAAGACGCGAAAAAAAATATTCATTTTTTTTTGGGTCACCTTAAGGTACATATTTATAAATTAAGTACTCGAATTTTACTTGTGAAATTAATTATCAAATAATTAACTCAAAGTATGTTGTTTGTAAGAACAAGCTTTATTCACTTTGTGATAATATTACAATTAAATGTTAAGAAACAAGTTTAGTTGGTCCAGATTTTAATAGATAAACTTCGGGAAAGTTTTAAATAACAAAAATTTCACTTTGCTCTATGAACATAGACGCAGAAAGCTACCGTTTATGAGAAACAGGGCGTTGAAATTAACAAAAATAAAATAAGTTTTTTAAATATCTGGAAAATCACAATATGTCTCATAACTCGTAAACCATTCGATTCACTTTTCGACAAAAATAAAAGGGTGTTTTTCATCCGAAATGTTTCAGACCGTTGTAAAATGTATTCATATTATCAATTAATTCAGTGGCATAAAAGTTTTACTTTAAATAAGGAAACGATATCATTGTTTCTCCGCCACTGGTTTTTGAATTTGGACTGTGTGCATACAGAACTAGGAGAAATATTTGAAAAAAAGTTTATACCAAATTTGGATAAATTTGATGAAGCGATTTTCCAGATATTTAGAAAATTTTTTTTACTTTTGTTAATTTCAACGCCCTGTATCTCACAAATGGTGGCTTTCTGCGCCTATGTTCATAGAGTAAAGTGATGTTAATTTTTGTTGTTTAGTACTTTCTCGAAGTTTGTCTATTAAAAATCTGGACCATCCAAATTCGTTTTATTTTTCCCTATTTCAACGCTTTATTTACTTGGATAATATGTCTCATAACTCGTAAACCATTCACTTTTCGACAAAAATAAAAGAATGTTTTTTCATCCGGAATATTTCAGACCATTATAAAATGTATTCATATTACCAATTAATTCAGTAGCGTAGAAATTTTACTCTAAATAAGGATACAACTTCATTGTTTCTCCGCCACTGGTTTTTGAATTTGGACTGTGTGTATACAGAACTAGGAGAAATATTCGAAAAAAAGTGTGTATCAAATTTGGATAAATTTGATAAAGCCGTTTTCCAGATATT